GGGTAGAGCTGCAGGTCATGAGCTGAAGCAGGACCCTCAAATTCCTTGCACAGATGGCTTGGCTCTAGCACCAAGGGAACCTCAGCAATTAGTTTAATTTGTTGCATTTCTCTTTTTAATTCAGGAAATGGAAACAGACAAATTAGCTACACTTGTATGACTTTAATACCTGACAGCTTTGTAGCAATCACTTTTCCATCTAGGGCCCTCTGAGGCTTCTAAGTCTTAATAAAATAAAGAAATAAATAAAATCTTCAGAAAGAATTCAGAGAATATGGTGGGACAGGCATGAGATTAGGTGATGGACTACCATGGTGCCAGAGTGCCAAGAGGAGGCCATCTCGCTGAGGGGCAGAAAACAGATGTGAGCCAGGCTGGCACCTAAGGAAGCCCCTGTAGGACTGCAGAGAAATACTGCACAGGGAAGATGCAAGCTGTGTCTCTGCTAGATAAGGCCTTTCAAACTACATCTTGGTAATTGAAAACAAAATGAATGTGGTATTGCTACAAGACAGGCGGTAACAAAATACAGTGCTCCATCCTGATAAGCCATGAGGAACGAAGTCTTCTAAAGGGGCAGAAGTGGGAAAAGCAGCGTATGGAAACAAATTCCCTTTGAGACCAAATTTATCTGTGCCACAGAACAGAGATGATTATTGGGAATCAAAAAAAAAAAAAAAATCCTGTCCTCACAAGCACAAAGCCTCCTGAAAATCCAGATCTGGAGGTGGGACAGCGAATAGCCTTGAGTCACTCCACCTTTAACAACTCTCGGCCCCATATGCCCCCTTCAGACATTTTCCTCTCACTGTCCTTTCACAACCAACTTTCTTGAAGGAGCTAGTGGAGAAGTAGTACTGACCACCATTGAGATCATGTACACAATCAGTACATGATCAGAGACACATGCTACATTGAGCAGAACACTTTTATCAGCCAACCTTCCCTTTGCACAGGTCCCAATTGGGGTCTAGGGGGATTGCATCAATGGCTAGACAGTAACACAAGGGCTAGAAATGCTCCTCCTGCTCAGCCATCTGTTTTGGATTTCATCCACTGTCATCGACATTGTCTCAGAAGGACTCAATTTCACTCAAAGAAAACCTCTTCAAAGCTCTAGACCAAACTGGACAAGAAATCATCAGTAACTTTCCTCCAGCCTCACAAGACACCAGGAAGGGGACAGAGACATGTGGCTTGGGAGGATGCAATAGTTACTGTGTCTTTATGAAATCTCATTTGCGGGGCGGGACTTATATAAGGGCTCTATGACCCAGGTGGAGCCAACATCTCCAGTCAGGTGTTCTCCACACTCCTTTCAGTTATCTCAGGATTCCCAAGCATCCAGCTCGGGGAGGGACAAGGCAGTGAGCTAGGTGCTGGTCTCCACCCAGTGTACAGCTACTGTCTTCACTGCCTCACCTCCTCCCCTTGGCTTCCCTCCCTGTCACTCCACTCCACAAAACTGTTCTCACCAGGGGACCAATGACCTCCAGGCCACTAACTCCAAAGGCCACATCAGTGTCTTCATCTGGCCTGGCTCTCAGAGCCCCTTGGCCCCTGGTTGTGTCTCCCTCCCTCCTGAACATGTTGCTCCCTGTAGTTTCTGTGATATTGTGACACTGCCCCGTCCAGTCCACTTCCTGCCTCTCCAGCAGCTCCTTGATCTCATCCCTCTTGTTGCTCCTGCTTTGCTGCTCCTTGGGGTTCTGTCCTAGGTTCTCTCTCTCTCACTCTCCCTGAAAGGACAGTGCAGCATGCTGCTTGTCTCCATGGCTAACACCTACCTCATGCTGACGACTCCCAGACATTTCTCTAGGCCCGACCTCAACCCCGAGCCCCAGGCCCATCTGTCCACAGCCTGCATCTCCTCCTCCCCAGGGTGGCTGATTGGAAAGAGGGCAGCCAGCTGGGTCCAGTGTTTACGTCCTGGTTTTTCTGTGTTCTTCTCTTCTTTCTGCATTCCTTATCTAGTTATCCAAGCCAGGAGCTTAGTCATCTAGAGTGTCGTCCTTTCTCTCCTCACGTCTAAGTTCACCCTTCTGCCCTCTAGTTCCCACTCCAATCAGACCCCTTCTCCAGCAACTGATCATAATTTTTCATCTATAGCAAATACCTCCTTATTGAGATGTTGACGGGTTCAAGCTTAACCTCTCCCCCATCTGCCACTGTTGCCTACCTCAAACGCAACTGTAACTCACATAGACATGGAGCACCCATGTGTGTACCAGGCACTGTGCTGGGCACTATGGACAAAACGCTACACCCACTCTGGGCATGCTCCTGATGCTATAACTGCTAGACAAGACATGAACCTTTAAAATTCAATCTGTTAATAGTCGAAATCTGTATATAGCTGTATGGGAGCCTAAAAAAGAAAATGATAAAGCTTTTCATGTCACCTCCCCTCAACAACTCTCAGTAATTTCCCTGCAGATGCCCTCCAAAAGCTACCAGTAGTGGTGCCCCAACACATGGGAGGGTTATGATCCATTATGAGATAAGCACATAGTTAGCATAAATTAGTGGAAGTAACAATGGCTCAAGAACAGGCATTTTTAGAAGGTTATCTTCTATCTCTTGGAGCAAATATAAGGTTGCCTGGTTAAAAACATATCTCTTACTTAGCAGTGGCGTAGAGAAGAAGAGTTACAATCCTATTAGGTGAGCATCAGCCCAGCTGGGTCAGATGAATCATGGCAGAAGAAAGGATGGGAGCTCTTTTTTATGCTATCCAGACCCCATGTACGTGGCCCCATTCTCCCCTATCTTACACCTGCCCCCAACTTGCTGCTTGCTCCAGCCACACCTGGCCACCACGTCTGCCTATACGGCATATCTTATGGTACTTTGCTTATTGAAGTTCTCAGATCTTGCATTTTTTTTACAGATTGAAGGTTTGTGGCAACTCATGAGTTCAGCAAGTCTATTGGCATCATTTTTCAAACAGCAAATGCTCACTTTGTGTCTCTGTGTCACATCTTGGTCATTCTTGAAATATTTAAAGCCTTGTCATTATTATTATTATGTGTTAGGGTGCTCTGTGGTCAGTGATCTTTGAGGTTACTATTACAATTGTTTTGGGGTACCACGAACCACACCTCTATAAGATGGTGAACTTAATCAACAAACGTTTTATATGTTCTGACTGGTCCATTGAGGTGGCCCCTCCCCCATCTCTTTCCCTCTCCTCAGGCCTCTCTATTCTCTGAGATGAAACAATATTGAAATTAGGCCAATTAATAACTCTACAATGGGCTGTAAGTGTTGAAGTGAAAGGAGGAGTCCAACATCTCTCACTTTAAGTCAAAAGCTAGAAATGATTAAGCTTGGTGAAGAAAGCATGTCGAAAGCAGAGACAGGCTAAAACTAGGCATCTTGTGCCAACCCCTTAGCCAAGTTGTGAATACAAAGGAAATGTGATTGAAGGAAATTAAATGTGCCACTCCAGTGAACACACAAATTATAGAAAAGCAAAACATCCTTATTGCTGGTATGAAGAAAGTTTCAGTGGTCTAGACAGAAAATCAAACCAGCCAAAACCTTCCCTTAAGCCAAAACCAAATCCAGAGTGAGGCCATAAATCCCTTCAATTCTTTGCAGGCTGAGAGAAGTGAGGACATCTAAAAAGAAGAGTTTGAAGCTAGAAAGCTTGGTTCATGAGGTTTAAAGGAAGAAGCCATTTCCAAACATAAAAGTGCAAGGTGAAGCAACAAGTGGTGATGGAGAAGCTGCAAGTTATCCAGAAGATCTAGCTAAGAGAATTGACTAAGGTGGCTACATCAGCAACAGATTTTCAATGTAGACCGAACAACTTTCTATTGGAAGAAGCCATCTTGGACTTTCATAGCTACAGAGGAGAAGTCAACGCCCAGCTTCAAGCTTCAAAGGATAGGCTGAACTTCCTGTTAGAAGCTAATGCAGCTGGTGACTTTAAGTTGAAGCCAGTGCTCATTTACTATTCCAGAAATCATAGGGCCCTTAAGAATGATGCTAAATCTACTCTGCCTGTGCTCTAGAAATGGAAAAACAAAGCCCAGGTGATGGCAAATCTGTTTACAGCATGGTTTACTATATATACTAAGCTCACTATTTTAAGGCACCCTACCACTCAGGAAAAAAAAAGATCTTTTTTGAAATATTACTGCTCATTCACAATGTACCTGGTCATTCAAGAGCTCTGATGAAAATACATAGGAGATTAATGTTGTTTTCAGGCCTGCTAATACAACATCCTTTCTGTAGCCCATGGATCAAGAGGTAATTTTGAATTTCAAGTCTTATTATTTATGAAACATATTTCATAAGGCTATAGCTACCATAGATAGTAATTCTTCTGATGGATCTTGGCAAAGTAAACTGAAAACCTTCTGAAAAGGATTCATAATTCTAGATGCCATTTAAGTACATTAGTGATTTGTGGGAGAAAATAAAAATATCAACACTAACAGATATTTGGAAGAAGTCGACTCTAATGCTCATGGATGACTTTTGAGGGGTACAAGACTTCATTATAGGAAGTAACTGCAGATGTGGAGGAAATAGCAAGGTAACTAGAATTAGAAGTGGATCTTGAAGATGTGGCTGAATTACTGTAATTTCTTAATAGAACTTGAACAGATGAGGAATTGCTTCCTATGGATGAGAAAAGAAAGTGGTTTATTGAGATGGAATCTACTCCTAGTGAAGAGGCTGTGAACATTGTTGAAATGACAATAAATAATTTAGAATATTCCATAAACTTAGTTGATAAAACAACAGCTGAGCTTCAGAGGGTTGATTCTAATTTTGAAAGAAGTTCTACTGTGGGTAAAATGCTATGAAACAGCATGGCAAGCTACAGAGATTCTTTTGTGAGAGAGTCAATCAATGTGGCAAACTTCATTTTTGTCTTATTTTTAAAATCTGCCACAGCCACCCCAACGTGTAGCAACCACCAATCTGATCAGTCAGCAGCCATCAACTTTGAAGCAAGACCCTCCACCAGCAAAAAGACAGTGACTCTCTGAAGACTCAGATGATGGTTAGCATTGTTTAGCAATAAAATATTTTTAAATTAAGGTATGTACACTGATTTTTTAAGACGTAATCCTACTGCTTGGGATAGTGTAAATATAACTTTCATATGTACTGGGAAATAAAAAAGGTGTATGACTCGCTTTACTGCAATGTTCACTTTGGTGGAATGGTTTGGAACCAAACCCACAGTATCTCTAAGGTATGCCTATATTCTGCGCTCCCTACACTTTGGAACCTTTGTCATACTGTTCTCCCTTTCCTGAAATGCTTTTCCCATCCTGTCTACCAGGCTTCAGGTCCTTCAGGTCACATGTTACAGTTCAGGGAAGCCTGACAACCACTTGCCTCCTGAGAGGCCCTTTTCATCTGCAGCCTTCCTTCCAGTCTTCCATGAGATTGAGGTCAAGATTGGGCAGGACTGGTGTCTAATCCAGACACTGGCAATGAATACATGTCTATGCATATTTTCTGAGCAAACCAAGAAGAACTCATTTTGAGGTCTGCCTGTTTCAGAGCCTTTGGAAATAAGCCTGTCCCAGACAAGGAGAAGCAAGCTTTGAAAGGCCTTCCTGTCTGTGTCTACCCTTTGCACCTGGGGATACAGAATGTTCCTAGCTGTCTTCTATTCTCTTCTCCATTAATTCTTCTGTCTTGTTTTTCCAGCTAGAAGCTACAGAGGGCCAGAAACGACAGGATATGAGAGGAAGAAGATTCTAACTCTTCTTGGCTGGGATCTTGAGCAAGTTACTTAACCTCTCTGAGTGTTCCTTCTTCTGTAAAATGAGAAACATAAAACATCCCCACACATGGGTTTTATGATGAATAAATAAGTCAACACATAGCTTTCAAAGCCCAGAGTAAGTCCTTGGTTAATAAGTATTTTCTTCTTCATTCTCTTTTTCATAATCTTTGCTAAGCAAACCACAGGATATCATGCCCACTGGTTTTGGAGAAGGCCTGCTGTATGATGGAAATTCTGTTAAGAGTAGGCTCTAAGACACAGCCCATACCCTGGGGCTTAGCTGAGAAGTCTAATGTACTTGGACTTTGAACATATCAACTTTTGTTTGAAATAAGATACGTTTCATCCAGTGCCTCAAAACTTTCACATGAATCATAAATTTCTTTTTTAAAACTGCAATATGTGACCTGTAGTATCAATAGATCAATCATACCCTTCCAAAATACAGATAATTATAGCCTATCAGGTAAAACAGGCTTGGAGCTACTTTTTCATTATAGAAAATGGCACATTCTATGTACCATGTACACCACTGACGGCCTTCACTGCCTTCGGCCAAGAGACATTAATGTGTGGGGAGTAATTTGGGAGGAAACAATATCTAAAGTCTATGAGTCTTAAAACTAAGGTTCTCAGCTCCAGAAAATTCCCCATGTCGGCATGCTGCATTCCAACAAACTCACCATCTGTCTTTATGGAAAAGATACAGGAAAGAGATGATGAAAAAGTAAGTGGTATGAAAAACAAGCTCGGAGAGACTCCTTCCCAGGGCTGTGTGCTGCATGGGGAGATGGAAGGAGGAATGAGTTTCACAGGAGAGCCTCATGCACATGAAAGGCTGGCAAATCAGCATAAACCCAGCTCCCAAGACCTGAAGTCCAACACAGCAGAGTCCAGTGTTATTTGTTAGTCACTCACCAAGAGCAGCCACTGCTAGGTGGGAATAAGGAAAAGCATGTAACTTAGCCTAAGTTAAAAGGATTTTTCCCACTCCCGAGGCTGCCTCCCAAGCATTTGCCTGTGTGGGCTGTGCAGTCCCTCACATGGCCAGGCACAAACAAGGGCATGCATCCTGCACAGCCTCCCACCCAGGGCACTGAAGGGTTGTAAACAAAGGAGAACATGATGTGATTCATACTTTGCAAAGATGACTCAACATCCATCAACAGAAATATGGACAAACAAATCACTGTGTACACATAGACTATGGCCCAGCAGCTAAAGTGAATGAGCTAGAGCTGCATGAACCAACAACATGGAGAAACCTCAAGAATGTGTCAAGGAAAAAAATAGCATATCATTTACATGGCACTTAATACATGTACAATAACAGTATGTAATGTTTACTTACAGATAACAACATAGTAAAAACATACACATGGGCATGAGAAATACCAAATTCAGAATTGTAATTACCTCTATGGAGGCAAGAAGAGAATGAGATCTGAGAGAGGTATGCTACCTGTCTTCACTGACAAATCTCATGTTTTGTTTCTATAAGTAAAAGCTCTGAAGCTGATAGGGCCTTATTAATGCTGGTAGGTAGATACAAAGTTGCATTTTTAAACAGAGGAGCTATAGAGAAGAAAGTATCACTCCGATGTTTGTGTGGCAAAGAGAACAGAGGGGAAGGGGTAAGGGCTAGAAGAAGCACATCAGTCAGGAGTTTGCTACAATTAAGAGGTCCAGGCAAGAAACAGTGACACCAGAGATGGTGAGAAGCAGCGAGACTTGGAATTTGCCTGGGAGGTGATCCAAAGCCTTGGGTATTGATTGGGATGTTAAGAGGAGGTAGAAAGTGATGGGAGGGCGGAAGGCATTCTGATGTCTAGTTCTCTGGCCATGGTAACTGGGTGATGAAGGCCCTGGAGCAGGCAGAAAGCAGTGAAGAAGAAACATCCAGCCATTCCAGCGACAAATCAGAACCAACGACCCCCAGCACCATTCTCTGGTAAATTAAGTGAGACACAGACATCTCCCCAGACCCATTATGGGCAGTCACCATAGGATATCATGAGAATTATAAGTCATGACTGGTGCCCACCCCTGATGAAATATCCCAATTAAAGTAGGGATGGAAAGGGTAGCACTGAAGCCCCAATAATGCTGCCAGCCCTTGCTTCATTCTGCCCTCAAACCTTTAGGTACAACGAGCAGAGAAAAATGCGAGGTCTGGATGGTGTCCATGCATACTTGATAGCTCAGTATAGCTTTGGGGGTGCAAATGACTAAGAAATATGAACAGCGCTTGACTGCCCCTAAGAAGTTACATTAGCGGTAATAACATGGAGGGCCATAGGTACAGGGTGCCAGTAATTTATTTCCCCTTTAAGGATATGTGAGGAAAGTCAGATTTAATAGCGTGGAAATTAGAATGGCTGAGACACAACATGGCAATCATGTACATAACCTATCAAGCTACCCTAGCCCCAGAATGGCCCGGGGTCTTCTCTCCTTCGCCAGAGGCAGCTCTGAAGCCCCCTGCACAGCTTCTCCCCTTCCTCCTATGAAAAAATAATGCACACCTCACTCTGTTGGGCAGAATGGGAAAGGGTTTAATTGCTTATTTAATTCCTGGGCTGCTTGCAGAAGGCAAGTAGAGCCTGGGCCAGCCACTCCAAACAGTATCACCCACAGGTGGAAAAAGAGATGGCTATGATAGCAACTTTTCTTCCTTCATGCTTTGCAGATTCAATAGCTCATCATGAGGGCAAAAAGTAGCATGGTGGCCTTGATCACTTTTGCTAATGAGATATTGACTGTGCCGGGGCCAGGACATTAGTCAAAGAAGTTAAAGAGCGTTTCAGAAAACAGGAACAGCTTGTACAAGGGCACAGGAGTGAGAGAGAACATGTGGCCTATTAGCAGAACGGCAGCAATTCAGTTTCCTGGAAGCAGAGTGGCGGGTGGAAAGTGCCAGGAGCTGAGGGTGGGGGCCAGGCAAGAGCACTGGTCTTCTCTTTCTCAGGATTCAGCCCTGTGTCACCCTATGCTGGGCATGACATGGAAAGCCCTGCCCCCTAGAAGCTGACAGCACACAGCCAAGTCTTCCTACCCTCGTCCCGCATTCTCCTCTTTCCCAGGGACCAGACTCTTGCCCCCTATACAAGGCCCCACCTGATTTCCTTCTAGGAGATCAGTGATCACCCCATGGCTCCACCCTCTACCCCAGAGCCCTCACTGAGCACTCTCCTCTCCAGGTCCATGAGGACTCAGTGAAAGCTCCCATCTGAGCCTCCCATAAGCAGCAGCCCTGAGCCAGTAGCTACACACCCACTTCTGGTCAGAGCCTTTGGATAAAGGATGCCAGCACCATGCAAAACACCACGAAGGACCCTGGTCCTGTCAGACTCCACAGGTTTAATCACATTGAAAACAAAATGCTGAGAGCAGCCACTCTCTCTCTTCAATGTGGTTCTGATTCCCTCCACAACCAACACGTGAGTGAGGGAGAAATAACAGCCAGGCTCCACTCCCTAATTAAATTCGCCACCTGGCAAAGGGGGCATCCATCACTTCTTTTGTTTTCTTCTCACGCTAACAATGTAAAATGACCCTGTTAGACCAAACTAAATAATCTCATTTGGCCTATCCTTTTAATGCCCCTTCACTGAAAGTATAGCCAACATACGTGGACAGGTTTCCAACTCCCTCCACTTGCTTCCGCTTCAACTATTTCTCTTTCGGACTTTTAGGAGCCTCTGCCCATTTAGTGCTTCGGGTTCCAGGGAAGGCTCTCTCTCAGATACTCACCTGCCACTTTGCCTTGATGGGGAGTGGGCAGTTCACCCGAATCTCGCAGACACTTAAGATAATTTCAGGGCTGTGGTTTCGTTTAACATTAATTGTTTTTTGAAGATATCTTAACAAAGCATGCAAGCAGCCATAAAATGAGCTCTGAGATCCAGCTCTGATGTCACTATTGCCTCACTAGGCAGAGGAAGATGTAGGAGTTGGAGCAGTGGATGAAGAATGGCGCTCAGGTATGACAGCCACCCTATTTGGCCACAGGCTACAACAGGCCAGCCTTGAGCTTGGACTGCGGCCAGTGGGCATAGCATGATGTGAGGGTGGCTCACAGCTCCAGATTTGGAAACTTTATGTCAGTCATCATCCAGACTACCTACTCCAAGGCAGGTGACCCAGCCCATGCAGGCTCCTGCAGCAGGAAATGCAAAGACAGGTATGAGTACATGACTGGTTGGCAGCAGCAGGGCAACATCCCTCCAGGGGTGGCTGGAATAGGCTGGCCCAAGCCAGGGATGCAGATGCCAGCACTCTGGATGGCAGTAAATATGCAGAATTGTGTGTATCCCACACATCTCCTAGAGCTACAAAGCGTGGCCCCCAGAGTCACTATGATACCTCACCCTGGGCATGTGGAAGAGAGAGAGAGAAGAGAATAACTCTCTCAGGCCATCCAAGAGCACCAGTCAATCAAATTAGCATCTACCATGTTCCCAGGGCAATGTTAAATGCTGTGAAGGATCTCAAGAATTAGAAGACCCACTTTTGCTACCCATTACCTCAAAGATCATTGCCTCAAGCCCTTCGACATCCCTCACCTACTCTGGGTCCATCTACCTGTCAGCATCTCCAGCACCAGCTCCTTTCTAGTGCAGCCTAAGACTCATGTACAGCAACAATCTCCCAGCTGCAGACCCCAAATCCCAGATCTCCCTGGCTAACCCATTCCCCACATGGCAGCCAGAGAGCACTTTTCAAAACATAAATCTGTCTCCTAGCCCTCTGTATCTGCCTGAAAACCTTTCGGTGGTTTCCCATTGCTGCTAGGATGAGGGCAGTACTCCACAAGGTGCATGGCCCTGAGTCGTCTGGCCTCAGTTGGTCCCTCTGTGACATCTCTCACCAGGCCTTCCCAACTCTCTGCAACTCATCCTATTTCACCCCCTCTCACCTGCTGCCTTCCATCACAGAGTATTTAAACATGCAATACCCCTGGCAGCAATGCTCCTCCTTCTCTGCTTTAACCTATTTAGCTCCTTCAAGTCTCAGCTTGAATGCCACTTCCTCAAAGAAGCATTCCCTGACTGCCTCCAACTATGTCAGATCTTCCTTTCACAAACTTCTGGAGCACTGTGTACCTCTACTTGGCACATACCACTGTTTAAAACTTACATTCACTTACGTGATCATTTGGTTAATGTTTCCTTACTGAACTATAAGCTCCTGGAGGGCAAGAACTGTGCTTGTCTTTATCATCATGAGAACAGTACTCCACAGGGTTCCCCTGCACAATATGAGCTTAGTAAATATTTGTTGAATCAGCAAATCCTGGCAACAAGGGACTTGCAATAGCTGGTCCAGTTTCATGACAGGATCCACATCTAGCTTCAAGAAAATTGATATCCAGCAATGAAAATAACTTAGCCACTCCAGAGAAGTTGAAGAAATCCAGGCAATGAGGTTGACCAAAGTCCCCTGTGGCCTAAAGAGAACAAATGAGGCAGGATACCCATCCAAGGACCATCGCCTTAACCTTGACAACACAATCAGGATCTTACAGTCTTTAGACGACTATGAGAGGCTCAAGGATTCTGTAAGTCTCCAGACTTCATGTAGACATGAATCTCTCCATTCATACAATCAAAACCTGCTCTGGAACTCATATGTGCAGGAACTTCAGGGCTCTGTCACATCAGAACAAGTGACTGTTCTGAGCAAGCTGCTGGCACCTGCTTATTTTGCTCCACTAAAAAGATGTGGCTTAGAAAGCACTCAGAGGAAGACTAAGACACTGTGGGAGGAGATGAGACAGGAGGGAGCCAAACTATGAATTCTGCATTGAAACAGAGCAGAACTGTGAATTCCAGCTCTGCAATGCACTGACTATGTGACCACGGACAAGTCACTGTGCCACTCTGGGTCAGTTTTCCCAGGCGCAACAAGGTCAGGATAAGAATCATAAAATCTACCTGCCAAGGCTGCATGAGGATTAAATAAGATAATGTGTGTGACGTGCCTGCCACAGGATATTCAGATTCTAGTTCCCATTATAAGAGAAAAGTCTTCATACTACTTCTCTAAAAGTATTAACAAGCTTAAAAATCAAATTTGGGAACACATATTCCTTTAAATATTTTTTAAGTTTTTTTTTTTTTTTTTTCCTGATTTATCACAGTAACACATTTTCATTGAGAGGTAATGTGGAATAGGATATAAAAAGCCATTAAACGGGTTCAAATCCAGTTCCACTTCCTAACAGCTGTCTGACCATGGACAAGTTACTTAACTACCAGAGGTCTGTCTCTACACCTACTAAATGGCTATGATAGTATTTCCCAATTTATATCCTAGTTGTGGAAATTAAACAAGCCAATCTATATACAATTCCTGGTACACTGCCTGACACACTGCAAAGACTAAGTAAGTATTATTACAATCATCATCCTCACTGTGATTGGTAAAATGTTTTTAAAGTCAGAATGATACAAAAATAAGAAGGGTAAATAATTTGTAATATTACCCCCTCCATAAACATATGAGTTCTTTTTTCTTATATTCATATCAATATTTTTCTGTTATGAAATTGGGATCATACATACAAACTATGTCATAGTCTGACCTTTTCACTTTTTTATGCCATAGCTGTTCTTTAAAAACAAATGTTAAAAAAGTTTCACATATTCTATTCTATAATAGTGCCAAAATTAATCCATCATAATGGTTCATCAACAAATGTTTCATTAAAAGTTGGTTTTATAAATAATGTGGCAATGAATGAATTTCTGCATATGTCCTTTTCCTAATTTCATTTCCTTAGAAGAGACTCTGAAAGGGCATATGCATTTTCTAAAAAATTCTCAATATATGGCTAATTGCTTTCCAGAATTTATACTTCTATGCTTTCTAGCATAGTGCTTGCCATATTGAGTGGCTGGATAAACAGCTGTCAAAAAGAGAAAGGAAAGTACTATCTCTTCAAAAAATACTGGCCAATAACAGACAGATTGCATCTTGTTTCATTTTTCACTTCTCTGAATGCTAATGAAGTTATGCTTTTTTCATGCTAATTGTTTATTTATAGTCTATGAAATGTTTTGCTCATCTCTTTGTCTATCTAGTAAGATTTTAATACTTTTATTAATTTGTAAATGCTTTTTATATATCATGGCTAGCATCTCCTTGACTTATTTGTGGCAATATTTTTATTATTTTGTGTGTCATTTTATTTTTGTCATTTTCATTTTTACTGTCATTTTTAATTTTACTGTATCCAAAACTTCTTGTTTTAAGAACTGTTGTTTTTATGGTTAGATAAAAACTCAATCATGTCTTCTGTTACATGTTCTAATTTTTTATATATATAACTCTTCTACTAAACAACTGAATAAATGTATTTTAGTGGGTAGCATTGAATGCTGCCTTAAAGCATTTGCAAAATCTACCTTAAAGTATCTGCAAAATCTCCCAGCACCATCTGTAGAATAATCCTTTATGTGATGCTTCCATTACCATTCGTCAAAGACCTACCAAAGACTATCAGGATTTACTTCTGACATGTGGATTCTAGTTCGCTGTTCTGTCCATTAACTTTTTCACCATTTACTGAGCTTTTAAAGGGGAAAAAGTTCATCTTCCTCAGAGCCCGAGTCAGTGGATCCCATCACATTGTGACCCAGGAGAACACAGGGTGCTGCCACCTTATTGCAGATGACAGCCACCTGTCACAGAATCAGCCCGCACGTTGATACAATGACCCCTGTGTTCAGAAGAACAAGGCATCAGTCTGACACATGCCTCCAATATCATCAATACCATTCAGGCCAGCAATGACCCTCCCTTACCTCATGGATTCCCTTCTCAGCTGTGGTTTCTTTTCTCTGCAAAGGTTCTCTTAAGTTCAGTCTGTTCAGAAAAGAGCCTCCTGGTTGCATGAGTCACGACAGACCTAGTTTGTTGAGCACAAAGTTGCCCAGGATGGTGCTCAGCTCTCTGTGATCACTACTGAAACCTCATGAGCTCTGAGTCCTTGATTTCCCTGACCCTCAGCCGCATTAAACCCCAATGATCTCTTCCTCTTCCTTCAACATTTATTTTGCTTCTCGGACACCATATTCTCATGTGTTTCCTCCACCTTTCCAGCAATTTCCTCTCAGCTTCTTCTACTACTGTCTCTTCATTTTCCCAACTTCTGAATGTCACAGAGCCCAGTTCTTAGTCAACAGTCCCCTGCTTCTCTGCCTAAGTAATGCATCCCATTGTCATGGTGCTAAATACCAACTACAGGCTGATGACTCCCAAAGCTTTTACATTCCCAACCTGAGTCCCTACCCTGACATTCGGACCAACAGACTCAACCATCAACACAGGAGATTCTACAAGTCCTGAAGGGAATGTCCATCCTTCCCTGAAAACCAGTACCTCCTGCTGCCAACTCCCTGAAGACTCCATCAGCAAACTCACCAAAACATATCCAGAACTCAGCAGTATCTTCTCGCATCTGGCACCACCACCCGATCGCAAGCCCCTAGCAACCCGAGCCTGCGCTAGGGCAGCAGCCAGCAGACTCTAAGTGATCACCCTGCTTCTTCCATTTAGTTTGTGATCCCATCATATCACTCAACGTGAAGAGTCCTCCTGTCTTAGTTATGGCCCCATGGCTTCTCTGTTCTCATTGCTGAATATTCTCGTCCCCCTCCACCAGATGTCCCTGTGGTTCCTCAGACACACCACATGCACCCTTTTGGCTCTCCGGACCAGCTGCTTCCCTCTCCCCACTGTCCCTGCCTCCTTCACTTCATCTGGTCTTTGCTCACTGGCAGCTTCTCAGTAAGGCCTTTCCCTGGCCCCATCTGAAATATCAAACCTCCTAAAATGAATAAAAAATAAAATGTCAACTCCTCACATTATACCCCCACTTCCTTGCCTTACTTTCTCCTTGGCACTTACACTACCAGACTCCGTGTTTTACTGATTTAGCCTGATTGCTGGCCGTCTCCCACACCAGCATCTACGCTCCAGAAAGGCAGGCATTCCTGTCTATTTACTGTTGTATCTGCAGTGCTAGAACAGTGCTTGGCACATAATAGGTACTGACTATTCATTCAGTGAATGGGAGTAAATAGATGAATTTAGAAATTCAAATCCCTCTTTTAAAATTTATTTTTATTCTTTTTTTTAATCTTATTTTAAGTTCTGGGATACATGTGCTGAACTCGCAGGTTTGTTACATAGGTATACACGTGCCATGGTGGTTTGCTGCACCTATCAACCTACCATCTAGGTTTTAAGCCCCACATTCATTAGGTATTTGTTGGAATCCCTCTTTTACAAACATGGAAACTGAGGCTTTGAGTAGTTTAAAGACCTCCTGAGGTTGGAACTGGAACCCACAGCTGATTCTAGAATGAGACTTCTGTTTATGACACTGTGAGTATGAATTGAAAAGTTGGGCCAGTGACGCTGTGAATAGACAGAACCTGGATCTATTTAGCAAAGCCCCACTCTGTTTTACAGCACAGCTGTGGAGTTGTCCACTGGCATCTTTAGAATGTAGTGTTCTTCCTGGGTAAAGAAAACAACAACAACAAAAAGAAACAATCCTGACATCAAGGCAACTGTCCTGTTGAGTTGCCCTAGGAAGGGAAAGGAATCAGCAAGACAATGTCTCACACTGAGTGAAGGATCTGATTGACAGAAAAGGAGAGGAATTAATTCATCAGAACAAAAGAGACCAGAAGGGCTGGACCAGCAGAGAAGCATCCTGCACATCTAGGGGCTCCACGGATGGAATGTTGATTACAAAACAAAACAGTCCTAATAAGGTTACAGCTGACCATGAATCCGCTACAAAACTCTGGAACAATGTTAGGATTTTAATAAGCATCCCCCAAAGACCATTCAGTCAATTTCACAAATACCCATTCTCATCATTTAATTCTAGTTGGGGAGAAGGACTGCCCTACCTACCTGATTCCAAATTAATAATGTGCTTCACTCCTGTTATGCTTCAGAAACAAAGCCACTGTAACATTTCCAGCTGTTTGGGGGAGAATTTTAATATTCTCACTGCTAATATAAACAGAACCTTATTAACTAAGTCCCAGAGATGCCCCATTTGGGATGTAATCCAAGCCCTGGTACCAACGCCAGTGTTAACATTTGAAAATACTTCATGTTTCTACTTCGTTTGAACAATTAAGGCAATAAAAGCTTTCCCCTAGAAAAATGGAAAGAAAAAACAAAGATAATTTTGCACCACGTTGAGAAAGGCTGCTTAATCCCAGTTTGGATAAAGGCTGCAGTAAACGGTATACACTGATCTTCATCATTTTCATACCAATACTCTGTCAACTCTGAAGAGGCTATACTAAAAATATACCCAGCTCTATTCCATGGATGGGAAAATAAAAGGAGACAACAACACACATACAACTTAAACACACACTGAAATTGCATCCCAGCAAGCCACACAACTCTCAATCCCACCGAAGCCCAGATGTGGTACTGCTACAAAGGCTCCTGGCCCACTCACTTTGCAGACTATGCGTGAATACTCCAACCTACAGGGACACTCAAGGCTGCTAAGGAACAATACGTGGCCATCCATCTGAGGCAGAGTATGGGCTTTGCATCATTGGAGGCAATCATTTCCCAATCATACTGATCCCATTTTTATGACTCAGCCTCTAGGGACAACCCAGACTCACAGAGCTGTAGCAAACCCTCACCACTTCCAATCCCAATGCAGGAATAAAAGATGGAAAAAAAAAAAAAAAAAAAAGGAGAACCTTAAAGAAAGAAGTCCTTAAGGTTCTTAAGTTTCTTTAAGAAAGGTATGGTTTGTCTACTTGTTCAAAATCTGAACAAAACACTTGCTTGTGAATATACTGCTAATATATAATTAAGTTTTTAAATGTTTTTCTAGTGTTAGAAATAGAAATCCAGAAGGTTTCATGCAACATGACAAACCAGAGAAGCCAGACTAATGATCAGGACAAGCTGGT